GAAAAATTTAAGTTTCCCTCGGTTAGTTTACATTTTTTGTGCAAAATGACTTCGCTCTTCTTAGCTAAAAACCCCAACCAACAGTTTTTTAATTCAGCAAGCAGGCTGAAATTGGCGAGAAGCCAGTTCTCATAGGGACAATGTGAGCATAAACTTTGGACAATATTTGCGGTCTTGTAGAATAATATATGTGTACGAAATTTTCTGTAATGCTGCCCTGGTATTTAGTTAAGTCACAGTAAATTATGCTCAATAATTTCCCGGCAACGATAAGTCCCAGTCAATCACTGATATTAAGCTACCGGAAGAGCTAAAAAAACGAAATGGCTATCGGCATGAGAAACGAAATTTACTTGGAACAATGAGGAATTTTGTCAGCATGCCGACTAACAAGAAGCTACCAATACATGTTGACTGGCGTAAGAAGGGTTGTGTTACGTCAGTAAAGGACCAGGTATATTTCTTCCTTTCCAGCTTCTTGCCAGATTTGTAAAGTGATCAAGTAACAGTGCTCGAAAGATTACGAGACAAAAAATTAAGTAATAAGTTCATGGTGCATGCTGACGCAGTGGCCTTCTGATCTGTTTGGAGCATAAAACCTTAGACAGTAGTACAACAGGCTTGCTTGTGCAATCGTGCGTTTTTGCACGCTTCCATTTTTGTATAGAGATTGCCTGTACTACCGGAATGTGATTCCAGCGTTGCAATTTGAGGTGACCAGCGTGTGGCGTGCGGATGTGCTCTTAAATCTTACTTAAGGACACGTGAAAGTGTTGATGTGGGGGCACCTAATTAGGAAACCAGATAAAGTCAGCTGAAATCTTGAAAGGATCCATGCGTGACACTTGAAATTTAAGTTTTACTTTCAACTATGGTTATGCCACATAGAGACATGGAAAAGTCCAGGCAAAAAGTTGCTAGCATCTTCCTAACCGCGCTAACATCTCTAGTATGCGCCGATACTTATCCGTGCTAGGCCTGCCACATCGATGTTTTAAAACAGTAACTTACAAAGTGCGTTGCAGGGTTCTTGCGGAAGTTGCTGGGCATTTAGTGCAACCGGCGCATTGGAGGGACAACATTTCCTAAAAACTGGAAAGTTGGTGTCACTTTCGGAGCAAAACCTCGTTGACTGTAGCACTGATTACGGTAACGAAGGATGCTCCGGTGGCTTAATGGATCAGGTATCCACAAATTGTTTTCAGGAATGTAAAAGAACATGAACTCGTATACATTTCAGCTGCGACTGCACAGTGAAGCAGAGACTGGCAGCAAATACAAAAAAATCTGTTGTTTTGTTTACTACACACAACGATTTTAAAAATTTAAAGCAAAAACAGAGGTAACCCGCCAGTATAGGCGAACTCGATAGCTATTCCAGGCAGGAGAGACCGAGGACAGTACATTCTTATGCGTTTTTGAGTCACTGATGGAGGGCAAAATGTGTAATGAGAGTGTTTTTCGATGGATATGTGTGCATGCATGTGTTCGGATACCTAAATCACCTCAGCAAGCGGAAAAACTAAAAAGTTAAAATTTTACATGCCTGTGTTGTAGCCCATGTGTGGTTGAATAAACTTAAAATCAGCTTTTAACTATGTCTGTGTCTTGCGTATATTTCGCGTACGGAAGCCTAAAAAACGAGGTTTTAGTAGGTAACGATTTTGGAATTATATAAGCTAAAAAGGTGAAATTTAATGCGGGTACTTGTCCGAGTTAAAAAAGCATGATCTTAAGGTTCAGATTTCTCTTTGAGGCACATATAGGTCCCGATCATGTACAAGTGAAAGAAATCGGAGTACTGTTAGAACCTATTTAAAGTCGATAGCTGGAAGCTGCATTTTTATGAGTTTTTGCTGTCCGTTGCAGCGCTCTAGCGCTGCACTGCAAAAACGCATATTGCAGCGAACCTGTCAGTCTATGTGTGTATGTGTGTGTGTGTGTTCGTTTGTCCGGGTATTTAAACTCGCTAACCACGCAAGGTTTTGCCAATATGTTCCCCAGCCAAGTGCCACCCCAGGACTGCGATATTAACTCTCACTCACGTCTGGATCTCGCGTACGAGCACGTAAAGTTTTAGTAGGAAAACAGCTAACTCGGGAACGAGAAAAGCTAGAAAGCTGAAACCATAAAGTAATGTTCCCCAATCGTGTATGACAAAAAGATTTTAAATTCAGCTGCTCAGGACTGCACGGGACTTACGTACGGGCACGTGAAAATTATGGCGGAAAAATTCATAACTCGGGAATGAGAAAAACTAGAAAGTTGAAACTTTGAGAGAATGTTCCCTACTCACGCACGACCAAAAGTTTTCCAATTCAGCCCCTTAGGACCGCCCTGGGCTTACTTACGGACATATGAAAGTTTTGGCGCGAAAATTGCCGACCCGGGAACAGGAAAAGCTAGAAAACTGAAACTTTTAGGGAATGTTCCCTACTCATGTATGAGCAAAATCAGGCATTCAGAAGCGCCCGAGTTCATGTACGGGCGCGTGGAAATTTCGGCGCGAAGTTTACTAACTCAGGAACGAAAAAAGCTAGAAAGCTGAAACTTTTGGGGAATGTTTCCTACTTACGTATGGAAAAAAGTTTTCAAATTCAGCTCCTTAAAACCATCCGGTACTTACGTACGGACGCGTGAAAATTTTGATGGGGAAACTGCTAACTCGGGAACGGGAAAAGCTGAAGGCTTTAATTTTAAG